AAAGACTGAACACACTTTTCCCCTAAGATTGGTACAAGATAAGGATATCAACTCCTCATCCTGCTAGCGGAAATCCTAGCATTTGCAATAAGATAAGAAAAAAATTTGGACTTCCCTGGCAGTCCAGTGGTTAAGACTCCATGCTTCCACTGCAGGGGCCTGGGTTCAATCCCTAGTCAGGGAACTAAGATCCCACATGCCAATAAATAAATAAATAAAAGCTATGCATATCAGAAAGTAAATAGTGAAACTATCTTTTTTTCATAAACAGTATGGTCGTGTATGTAAAAAGCTCCAAAGAATTTACCAAAAAAAAAAAAAAATCACTAGAACTAGTAAGTTCTCAGGATATAAGGTCAATATAGAAAAATTCTATTTCTGTATATTAGCAGTGAACAATTGGACAGTGTAATAAAAGCACACCATTTATAATATAAAAAATCATGAAGTTGTAAGGATAAATGAAACGTAAAATATGCAAGACCAGTACACTGAACATTACAAGACATTGCAGAGAAATTAAAGAATTAAATAAGTAGAGAGATATACCATGTTCATGAATTAGAAGACTTAATATTGTTAAGATGTCCATTCTCTCCAAAGTAATCTATAGAGTTAATGGAATGTCTATCAGGCTTTTTTTTTTGGTAGAAATTGAGAAGCTGATTCTAGAATTTATATGACAGTGCAAAGGATCTACAGTAGCCAAAACAATTTTGAAAAAGAAGAACAAAGTTGGAGAACTTACACAACCTGATTTCAAGACTTACTGTAAAGCTACAATGATAAAGAAATTATGGCATTGGTATAAGGTTAAATAGATAGATAAATGGAACCAAATAGAACAGAAGTGGACCCACATTTATGTAGCCAATTGTTTTTTTTTCCCAACAGTGTCAAGATAATTTAATGGGAGAAAGGATAATCTTTTCAACAAATAACCAGGAAAAATTGGATATCCATATGAAAAACAGTTAACATTAACTCTCACCTCAGAGTCATACAGAAAAATTAACTTGAAATGGATCAATAATTTAAATGCAAAAATGAAAACTATTGAATTTCTGGAAGAAGCCATAGAAGAAAACCTTTGTGACCTTGAGGATTGGCAAAGGTTTCATAGGACACAAAAACTACTAACCATACAAAAAAATTATAAATTACATGTCATTAAACTTAATATCTTCTGGTCTTTGAAAGATACTATTAAGAAAAGAAGACAAGCCACAGTTGGAAGAAAATATTTATATGACATATATCTGATAAAAGATATATATAAATGTAAAAGGAACTCTTTTAACACAATAATAAGATGATATCCGGCCCTGTAGAAAAATCAGCAAAAGGTTTGAACAGACTTCACAAAAGAAGATTTATGAATAAGGCACATGAAAAGATGTTCAATATCATTAGTCACCAGAAAAATGTAAATTAAAATCACAGGGAAATATCACTGATATCCACCAGAGTTGCTAAAATAAAACAGACAGACACTACCAGTAAGTTATGGAACAACGGGAACTCACCTACCTGGCTAGTGGAAGCATAAAATGGTCAAACCACTTGACAATTTCTTACGACTCAGTAATGCTACTCCTAGGTATTTGCCCAAGAGTTATGAAGACATATGTCCATACAAAGATTTGTGCAAGAATGTTCAGAGCAACTTTTTCAAAATAGTCCAAAACTGGAAACAACCTAAATGCCCTTCAGTAGGTGAGTGGGTATACAAAACATGGGATATCCATACACAGGATACTACTCCATAATACAAAGGAAAGAGCTATTGCTAGCTGCAGCAAAATGGAAGAATCTCACAGAAATTATGTTGAGCAAAAGAAGAGGGTCACAAAAAAGTACTTACTGTATGATTCCATTCCTGTGATGTTCTAGAATAAAGCAAAAACAATTCTGTAATCATAGCAGATCAGTGGTTGCCTGAGGTCTGGATAGGGGTGAGAGAATTGACTGTAAGCTCAGGGGAACTTCTTGGGCTGGTGGTTACATGACTGTATGTAGACATTTGGCCATACTCCTCAAATTGTACACCAAAAATGGGTGTGTTAATCATACGAACATTATTCCGAAATACAGTTGTTTTTTTAAAAAAATGAAGTAGAACTGATCCAGCACAAGAAGCTAAGCCTCCTGATTTCAGACACAGTTTGTTTTGGGGTTTTTTTGTTTGTTTGTTTTGATTCTTCCTCCCTCGTTGTTCTCTACAAGATAATGTTGGCTCCTTCCTGTCTCCCACGGAATCCAGTGGGAAGCAAGGCAGGAGTGACTCAAGCCTGGGTGACCAGGAAGGTGATTTGGGAGGAAGATGACACACAGAGCCTCAGCTCGGGGCTCTGGGCTTCCTGGATGGGTTTAGTCTTGCTAAGACAGGATGAAGTCATGCCCAGAGAGAGATACAAGTTGGCGTCCAAGGAGGAGGCAGTGGAGCCGGAAAAGAGTCAGAGGAAAAGCCATTAGGGATGCAGAACGACCAAGAGAAAGGTTGTGTAGGTCCATAGTGGAGAGTCTTTTCCCATAAGGAATAGGGGCGGAAGTACTGAGTGGGGTGAGGACTAATTGATCTCAGTAAAATGAACACCAGATGCACGGCTTTGAAGTCAGATTGGGAAGGAATCCAGTGCTCCTGTTTACCAGCTCAGTGACTTTGGACAATTTATTTAACTTCACTCAAACCTAATTTTTTAATATGGGGACAAATAGTAGTTTTTACCTGGGATTCATTCTGAGCATTCAGTGAGAAACTGTGTATGAAGAACTTAGCACAGGCCTGACTATGCATTAGACTCTGATGTTATTATCATTAACAAGTTATAATTTAATTTTTTCATAACTAATACTAAGTATTTGATGTGTGCCAGATGTTGTGCCATCACCTCATTCAATAGGTGACTTCCTGAGGTGACATCGTGCGCTGGGGGTGTAGGAGCCCCAGCAGTACGGCTCATAGCCTGGTCTCCACTTCTTCTGAACCAGCATTTCCAGAGGGAAAGAAGGGGCCTGCAAGGGGCTCAGAGAGTGAACGAGAGGGAGGAAAGCTATGGCAGGTTGTAGAATGTCCTTTCAGGAAATTTGGAGGTAGAGACAAGAGACAAGTGAGTGGCAGAGTCAAGGTGGGATTCCTGGGAGAGACCTGACCACTGAGCTTCTATCAAGATTGTCTCAGGCAATGATCAGAACGTCTGAGACTCATTCAGCAGCATACATGTACTAAGTGATTGCTGTATGCTCTTAGAATTCTCCCTATTTTTGTACAAAGAAATATTATATCACCTCCAGGGAGGCTGAGTCTAGCCTCATCTGCCTTGGTTCCACAGCACGCGGTTTGCCAAGCAGTCCTGGCTCCAGGAGAGCAGGCATTGCGCCTTGGAATTCTCAAACTTCTGGCAATGCCAGAAGTGGGTCCCTCATTTTCATTATTCCAGTGACGTGTCCTGAGGAGATGGGTGCAAAGGTCCAGCACCCACTCCATCCACCTCCTATTGCCCACAGTGTTGACGACCACAGGCTGAAATGGGGAGGAAATGTGCAAGAGCTCAGGCCAGCCCTTCCCCATACCAACCGTTCAGTGAAACTTCAAGCAGTTTAACAGATTGCTGAAAACCACCCCTGAACAAGCAGTTTCCGTTTCCCACCATGATCATGAGGAAAGAGAAAGCGTCATTCTATGTAATTCAAGCAGTCACATGTGGCAAGTTTGTATCTGGCCGTGGGAATTCCAGTGGTCACGAAGGTAACTCCTGCATGGAGGCGGGAGGCCGGAGTGGAAGAGCTGCGTCTGCTGACTGCACAGAAAGCAAGAAACCCTGTGAATGAAGTGTTACCAAGGAAATAATGGCTTAATATCATATACCATGTATTACATTAAGCGGTTAGATTACATAAAGCTAGCTGGATTGTGAGGAGAGGAAGTATAATTTATATGAGATGAGACTTTTATCTCCATAAAGGGCCAGATTGAGCCTATCATAACTCTAAATTCCCCTGAAATAGCTATGGCTATATTGGTAATACATTGAAAGATAGATATATCTTTTCTTCTTTCTCCACTAATCCCACCAGAACAGCACTAAATAGTTAACAAGATTCTTTTCCTGAATGAATGCAATGAACTTCATAGGCACCTGCATTTAGCTTCAATTTTCTTTCTTGGGATTTCCGTTTTTATTTTACAAAAGGAGTCTTTCATTGAAAGCATTGAGGTGAGCTTAAAATTATTCAGAAAAATTAAGATTGCTCGGTATGTTAATTTGCTGAGTTTTAAAAATTACCTTTTGAGACGATGACTAGATTTATTGTGGTGACCATTTCAGAATGTGTATAAATATCAAATCACTACACCTGAAACTTAATATAATATTGTATGTCAGTTATACTTCAATTAAAAAATTACCTTTCCTCCAGATTTATCTGTAGAATTGTTTTCAGTTTTATTGAGAAATAATTGACATATATTACTGTGTAGGTTTAAGTTGTACAAAATGATGGTTTGATTTACATATATTTTGAAATGACTATCAGTAGATTTAGTTAACATCCACCATCTCGTAGATACAATAAAAAGAAGAGAAAAAAATTTCTCCTTGTGATAAGGACAGTTTGTATAATTTGATAATTTTCTTAAATTTCCACTCATTTAATAGTTGGTTGAGATCTGAGGTATCCCAGTTCTGTTTAGGGACTTTTTTTAATGTCTCAAGTATGTTCCCAGGGTTATAAATTGAGTTTTCCAAAAGTGTAAAGTATTAGGACTTTTTTTTTTTTTTTTTTTTTTTTGACCACGCCTCACGGCTTATGGGACCTTAGTTCACCAACTAGAGATTGAACCCAGGCCCTGGCAGTAAAAGCAGAGTCCTAACCACTGGACTGACAGGGAATTCCCTGAAATATTTTAAAACTGTTATCTTGTATATGATATAAACTTACGAGTTTATTTTTTGTTTAATCCACTGCACTGTCTTTTTTTTTCTTTTAATTTAATCCAGAAATAGACAAGAAGAAATATTACAAGTACAGCAAAGAGAAGACATTAAAATGGCTGGAAAAAAAGGTACGGTACCTCTCCAATGCCTTGTGGCAGAAAGAGTTTAATGCTCCTTTTTAAACATATTTAGAGAAGGTAGTAAGCCTGACCCCAAAGACCATCTTGAACATCAACTGCAAGAGAGAAGCTGTACAAAGACCTCCAAGTGGGAGAAGAATCTTTGGCTTTTCATTCTCCCTAATTCATGTATTTTTTTAGCTTGATGTGTTCCTTTGTGCATCCCCATTTCCCTGTGGTCCTCACCAGTGAGAATGAAGAAGTTCTTGCTATTTGTTGGTGTAGACTTGAGTCTTTCAAGCCAAGTGATACCAGGGCTACGTGCACTTGATGCCGTCAGTCCTATAGGCATCTCAGAGGTCGACGTTGCTCACACATGACCCACAGGGGACCAGGCAGATGGGATTCAGGCTTAGTGTCTGGATGCTGAAGAGGGGTCATCTTCCAGGCAAACCCTGTATCTTAGTGATCCTAAGAATTAGACCAGTATAAGGTCTTGGGCAGTGTTTTTCAAATCGATTTAGTGGATCACAATCAGTATTTCTCTTAGAATGGAATGGGATAGAATAGGATAGGATGTATTAAAAGATAGCACAGACTATGAGCAAGTATTAAGTATGACTGTATGAAACGTACTTATATATGTTTTGGGGTATTGGGTTGCTGTGTATTTCTTATTATGGGTATAGTAAAGGAAAAAACAAAAAAGCTACTGGTCTAAGGATATTGCATACTTTCACCGTGATAAAGAATCTCGCCAGACCAGATCTATGGATGACAAAGTTTTTGTAAGTTCAGTGGATACCAGTTCTAGTACTGATTCCTAAGATTCTCTTCTATCTTGTATGTGAAAAACATGTTTGTAATATCATGTTACTGAGCACATTGGGAACTTGGGAACATAGAAATGAACCTTGCAGAATTAATCAGGTTCTTATGTACAGAGTGGTGAAAAGATTTGAAAAGTACCCATGTTTCATTTTTCATTTGCTTTAATGGTAAGTAGTATTTGCATTAGTAGAATTCTGTGTAGGTGAAGAATGAGAAGTACTGAGCAGAAACTTGGCGTTTTGTTTTTGCTCTTAGCAAATGATAATGACACAAAATAGCAAAGTGAGGTTTATGTTTATTGATTGTGTTTCCTTTCTTAAATTCCTAGGAAGTGAGAAATTTATATTATTTATTCTATTTAGAAAATCATTACATATAAGCTTTGTGCCATTTTCTGTACTAAGAGCTTAACATACATTAACTCATTTAATCCTCACAACAGTACTATGAGATAGGTACTATCTTTATCCCCCTCTCGTAGATAGAGGCACAGAGAGGTTAAGTAACTAGCCCATGGTCACAGAGCAAACCCAAGCAGCCTGCCTCCAGAGTCAGTGCTCTCATATTGTGTAGGCCTTAGGAAGTCCATGTACTGAGCTCATCCCGTAGTGCTGTTACTACCCTTCACCTTTCTTCAAATGTGCAGCTATCTCTCATCTTGTGATATCTGGTGAAGGTATTTCTAGATCCTCAACTACTTCTTCCTGGATCTTAACTGGATTGAGGACTGTCTGGAAGGTCATGGGGTTTCTAAAGTTAGTTGAAAATACCCTGATATTCCCCTTTCGTTTATTTCATAGGTTAATCAGACTATGGCAGCGTTAAAAACCAATAATATAAATGTCGGTGCCCGGGTACAGTCTACTGCATTTTTCTCTGGTGACCCGGTTTCCAGTGACAAGGAAGGTAAGTAAATCATTTCATCAGAAATTATTTTTGTCTGGAGTAAGTTGCTGACCAGAGTAAATGCCAGTCTTATGATTTTAAAATCTTAATGTCTCAGAAGCTTCACATTCTCGCCGATGTGTTCTCATAGATCTTGTGGCAGGCGTGCATTTTATTTCAGAACCAAGTAGTACTTCTGCCGTAGTTCACTTCTTTCACTAATTGATACTTAAATCATTCATTCAAGAAATATATATTTTGCGCTAACAGTAATAACAGCCCTAAAAACCCTGGCTATCATTTATTGAGGGTGTGTTGTGTGCCAAGCCTTTTACTAAGCTGCCAGTGTGCACACATTAGCCCATCTGACCCTCCATCTAAGTCTCATTTTACAGTGAGAGTCCTGAGGCTGTGTCCAAAGTCACACAGCTAGTAAATGGTAGAGCTGAGCTACTAATGGAGCTTGCCTGACTCTTAAGCCCACACTCATAACCTTCTTGTTGTACTGTTCGTGTGGCACAAGGATTTCCAATGAGCTGTATCTGTTTGCATCTTACTCTCAAGAAGCATAGGTCCTACTGTAGGTCTCAATATTTTGATTTTAGATGAAACTTTATTCAATTGGCAGTTTTTTCTCTTAGGTTATTAAGGTAAATTTTTTGCTTTTTTACAGTGTAGTGTCCTCTTATTTTTATATGTGTAGTTGAATAAAAACAGCTATCTAATACAATTAACTTTCTGAAATGGTAGGACAGACATTATTCTGACTTTAAGCTCCAATTCAGTGTTCCCCTGTTCCAGTATACAACTCCAAAACATCGGAGTTTCATCATTTAAAAAAAAAAAAAAAAAAGAACTAGGAACGGCGGCCTGTTGGTAATTCAGGCAATCTTCGACTCGCAGAAATCCACCTTACAGTACGTTGTACATATGGATAATAGCTGGCTCCTGCCATTCTGGGAGTGGTAGACTTGCCCTTGACATCTGAGTTTACCAGCTATCAGTGTCTTTGATTGGCTTTAACAAAAGAAGAGAAGGGACTGAGTCAAATGGCTGGACAGATAGACAGATGCATGGATTGATGGATGGATGGATGGATGGATGGATAAAACCATAGATTTTTGTTAAAGTAGGAGAAGGGGTGTTAGAGGTTATTTAGACAGATCTTCTCATTTTAAAAATGAAAACCTGTGGTCTTAGAGAAGCAGATGACTTATTCAAGGTCACCCATCCTAGCTAGCAGGCCAGGTCTTCTGCTCTGAGGCCAGTGTTTGTACCAATCTCTAAATATGAGTCTGGGCTTGGCTACATGACCATTTAGGTTCCCAGCCATAAAGTAAGCTTTATGCTCTGCATTCTTTCCTTTTTTAGATCTTTAGCTTGATATGCTACCAGAAGAAGCAAACAGATGATATATTGGCTTTCTTAAAATAACTTTCTTTGTCTATTCATGACTCATTAGATAATTACTAACTCAGAACCATGAGCATATTTTAAGAAGGGTCCAGTGATAACTTTCAGTTCTGTGCTGGCAGTGAAAATCTCTTACTGAAGACTTTTTGAGAATGAGGTGGACCAGGCAGCAGTCACTTCCTAAGTAATACTGAGGCAAATTGTTATCCTAACATTGAAGGTAGAAGAGAAAGGAAAAAAAGAAGAAAATGAATATCCCAGCAACAAACCTGGGATATTGCTTTTGGTAGTTTATATCCCCTTGTGATTATCCCATCTATTAAGTTTGATTATCCCCTAGTATTCTACAAAAAATACTGAATTAAGGAACAGAGCTTTAAAACAGATTTTCTCTTATGTTCTGTATTTAATTGATACCAGAGTTTCATTTTAGTACTGAGAATCCAAATGCTTTAGAAGTAAAGATTATACTCACTGCTGAGTTTTGTTTTTTTCTATTTTTTAAGGCATTTTATTAGTTTGGGGGTATATATAACATTCAGGACTCTTATAAAGCAAGTACTTAATAGAGACATATCATGTATTATTTCTCTTAAATGAGCATACTCATTTACTCTTCAATAATTAGATTTATTTTATATTGAAACAGACCTAGAAAAGATTAGTCTTTTAAAAAGACGTGAATATTTCATATTGTTACATCTGATTTTTGAACTTTATTTGTATTCAAGAGCCTCAGCTAAGAAAAGAACCCTGAGTTTTTACCTGTTATTTAGTGGGCATCTGCTGTATTGTGCTTGATTATCTCATCATATTTTTGATACCATCCTACATATCCATCCATCAGATTACCCCACTACTGTGACAGATAGATATGAGCATCCCCGTTTCACAAACAAAAGCTTAAGTGACTCTCTAAGGCCAGACAGTGCCAGAATTTGAACTCTGGTCAGTTTGACTGTAAAACTACCATAATTATTACTAATTTTTTTTTCATTCTCCATTCTGTTTCTTTCAGAGGATTATATTTGTTATGCCCATGGTCTGATATCTGATTACATCCCTAAAGAATTGAGTGATGACTTATCTAAATATTTAAAGTAAGTATGGTTCAGCTTTAGTCACAACTAAGCATAATTGTGCTTCTTGGTTTCCAAGAAATAGGGTTTCTTTATGGCTTATATCACTTTTTCTGATAAGAGATTATTCTTGAGTTATGTCATAGACTGTATGATTTGGAGGTGAATTTTAATGGATAGTTTTTTGATTGGAACAAGCTGATTTAATGGATACTAGTTGTAGGAACCCCTGAGTGTTAGGATTGGGGTTATCGGTTGTTTTGATATTAGAGGGTAAACTGTGTTAAAATTTTGTCCCCAGCCAGACTTAACTAATTTGGTTCGTGGGAAAGAAAGAGTAGATAGCAGAATAGAATATTTTTGAAAGTTATATTTAAAGGTTTTGTACCATTTTTATTATCATTAGATGTTCACTAAGTATTTTTATTATGCCCAACACTTGGAACTCAATGAAGAATGAAGCACAGTCTGTGTCTTTGAGGGGGAAGAAGGGTTTGAGAATGACCTGATTTGTGTTCCTTCCTTCATAAAGATCTTTAATAAAATATAAAGACTTTATCTTAGGCTGAAAAAAATGTTTATTTTCTGTATTTTAGCAACTGTTGTTCAGATTTCATGTGTGTGATAATTTAATAGCCTTTCCTGATTCTTATAATAATTTTTTCCTCTGATACATGAATATAAGATGACTTTTTAATAGATACAGTTGCTGTTTTTAGCAAATTGCATCTTAGGTCCTACTTTAAAAAAACAATTAGTAGATACTGGTTTCTGTAGTATAGTAATATAGTATGTTGAAAGCCTGCTTTGAATTGATAAACATATCCTTCTGTTTAATATTTTCCTGGATTTCTTTGTACCTGCTTATCTTGTTAGAGACTTTATGTCTTTGTATTCCATTATTTTTTTATATTATTTTTTTAACATCTTTATTGGAGTATAATTGCTTTACAATGGTGTGTTAGTTTCTGCTTTACAACAAAATGAATCAGTTATATATATACATATGTTCGCATATCTCTTCCCTCTTGCGTCTCCCTCCCTCTTGCATCTCCCTCCCTATCCCACCCCTCCAGGCGGTCACAAAGCACCGAGCTGATCTCCCTGTGCTATGCGGCTGCTTCCCACTAGCTATCTACCTTACGTTTGGTAGTGTATATATGTCCATGCCACTCTCTTGCTTTGTCACAGCTTACCCTTCCCCCTCCCCATATCCTCAACTCCATTCTCTAGTAGGTCTGTGTCCTTATTCCTGTCTTACCCCTAGGCTCTTCATGACTTTTTTTTTTTCTTAAATTCCATATATATGTGTTAGCATACGGTATTTGTCTCTCTCTTTCTGACTTACTTCACTCTGTATGACAGACTCTAGGTCTATCCACCTCATTACAAATAGTTCAATTTCGTTTCTTTTTATGGCTGAGTAATATTCCATGGTATTTATGTGCCACATCTTCTTTATCCATTCATCCAATGATGGACGCTTAGATTGCTTCCATCTCCGGGCTATTGTAAATAGAGCTGCAATGAACATTTTGGTACATGACTCTTTTTGAATTATGGTTTTTTCAGGGTATATGCCCAGTAGTGGGATTGCTGGGTCATATGGTAGTTCTATTTGTAGTTTTTTAAGGAACCTCCATACTGTTCTCCATAGTGGCTGTATCAATTCACATTCCCACCAACAGTGCAAGAGGGTTCCCTTTTCTCCACACCCTCTCCAGCATTTATTGTTTCTAGATTTTTTGATGATGGCCATTCTGACTGGTGTGAGATGATATCTCATTGTAGTTTTGATTTGCATTTCTCTAATGATTAGTGATGTTGAGCATTCTTTCATGTGTTTGTTGGCAGTCTGTATATCTTCTTTGGAGAAATATCTATTTAGGTCTTCTGCCCATTTTTGGACTGGGTTGTTTGTTTTTTTGTTACTAAGCTGCATGAGCTGCTTGTAAATTTTGGAGATTAATCCTTTGTCAGTTGCTTCATTTGAAAATATTTTCTCCCATTCTGAGGGTTGTCTTTTGGTCTTGTTTATGGTTTCCTTTGCAGTGCAAAAGCTTTGAAGTTTCATTAGGTCCCATTTGTTTATTTTTGTTTTTATTTCCATTTTTCTAGGAGGTGGGTCAAAAAGGATCTTGCTGTGATTTATGTCATAGAGTGTCCTATGTTTTCCTCTAAGAGTTTGATAGTTTCTGGCCTTACATTTAGGTCTTTAATCCATTTTGAGCTTATTTTTGTGTATGGTGTTAGGGAGTGATCTAATTTCATACTTTTACATGTACCTGTCCAGTTTTCCCAGCACCACTTATTGAAGAGGCTGTCCTTTATCCACTCTACATTCCTGCCTCCTTTATCAAAGATAAGGTGACCATATGTGCGTGGGTTTATCTCTGGGCTTTCTATCCTGCTCCATTGATCTCTCTTTCTGTTTTTGTGCCAGTACCATACTGTCTTGATTACTGTAGCTTTGTAGTATACTCTGAAGTCAGGGAGCCTGATTCCTCCAGCTCCGTTTTTCGTTCTCAAGATTGCTTTGGCTATTCGGGGTCTTTTGTGTTTCCATACAAATTGTGAAATTTTTTCTTCTAGTTCTGTGAAAAATGCCAGTGGTAGTTTGATAGGGATTGCATTGAATCTGTAGATTGCTTTGGGTAGTAGAGTCATTTTCACAATGTTGATTCTTCCAATCCAAGAACATGGTATATCTCTCCATCTATTTGTATCGTCTTTAATTTCTTTCATCAGTGTCTTATAATTTTCTGCATATAGGTCTTTTGTCTCCTTAGGTAGGTTTATTCCTAGATATTTTATTCTTTTTTTTGCAATGGTAAATGGGAGTGTTTTCTTGATTTCACTTTCAGACTTTTCATTGTTAGTGTATAGGAATGCCAGAGATTTCTGTGCATTAATTTTGTATCCTGCTACTTTACCAAATTCATTGATTAGCTCTAGCAGTTTTCTGGTAGCATCTTTAGGATTCTGTATGTATAGTATCATGTCATCTGCAAACAGTGATAGCTTTACTTTTTCTTTTCCAATTTGGATTCCTTTTATTTCCTTTTCTTCTCTGACTGCTGTGGCTAAAACTTCCAAAACTATGTTGAATAAGAGTGGTGAGAGTGGGCAACCTTGTCTTTTTCCTGATCTTAGTGGAAATGCTTTCAGTTTTTCACCATTGAGGACGATGTTGGCTGTGGGTTTGTCATATGTGGCCTTTATTATGCTGAGGAAAGTTTCCTCTATGCCTACTTTCTGGAGGTTTTTTATCATAAATGGGTGTTGAATTTTGTCAAAAGCTTTCTCTGCATCTATTGAGATGATCATGTGGTTTTTCTCCTTCAATTTCTTAATATGGTGTATCATGTTGATTGATTTGCATATATTGAAGAATCCTTGCATTCCTGGAATAAACCCCACTTGATCATGGTGTATGATCCGTTTAATGTGCTGTTGGATTCTGTTTGCTAGTATTTTGTTGAGGATTTTTGCATCTATGTTCACAGTGATATTGGCCTATAGTTTTCTTTCTTTGTGACATCCTTGTCTGGTTTTGGTATCAGGGTGATGGTGGCCTCGTAGAATGAGTTTGGGAGTGTTCTTCCCTCTGCTATATTTTGGAAGAGTTTGAGAAGGATAGGTGTTAGCTCTTCTCTAAATGTTTGATAGAATTCGCTTGTGAAGCCATCTGGTCCTGGGCTTTGTTTGTTGGAAGATTTTTAAATACAGTTTCAATTTCATTCCTTGTGATTGGTCTGTTCATATTTTCAATTTCTTCCTCATTCAGTCTTTGCAGGTTGTGCATTTCTAAGAATTTGTCCATTTCTTCCAGGTTGTCCATTTTATTGGCATAGTAGTTGCTTGTACTAATCTCTCATGATCTTTTGTATTTCTGCAGTGTCAGTTGTTACTTCTCCTTTTTCATTTCTAATTCTATTGATTTGAGTCTTCTCCCTTTTTTTCTTGATGAGTCTGGCTAATGGTTTATCAATTTTGTTTATCTTCTCAAAGAACCAGCTTTTAGTTTTATTGATCTTTGCTATCGTTTCCTTCGTTTTTTTTCATATATTTCTGATCTGATTTTTATGATTTCTTTCCTTCTGCTAACTTTGGAGTGTTTTTGTTCTTCTTTCTCTAATTGCTTTAGGTGCAAGGTTAGGTTGTTTATTTGAGATGTTTCCTGTTTCTTAAGGTAGGCTTGTATTGCTATAAACTTCCCTCTTAGAACTGCTTTTGCTGCATCCCATAGGTTTTGGGTCATCGTGTCTCCACTGTCATTTGTTTCTAGGTATTTTTTAATTTCCTCTTTGATTTCTTCAGTGATCACTTCGTTATTAAGTAGTGTATTGTTTAGCCTCCATGTGTTTGTATTTTTTACAGATCTTTTGCTGTAATTGATACGTAGTCTCAGAGCGTTGTGGTCAGAAAAGATACTTGATACAACTTCGATTTTCTTAAATTTACCAAGGCTTGATTTGTGACCCAAGATATGATCTGACCTGGAGAATGTTCCATGAGCACTAGAGAAAAATGTGTATTCTGTTGTTTTTGGATGGAATGTCCTATAAATATCAATTAAGTCCATCTTGTTTAATGTATCATTTAAAGCTTGTGTTTCCTTATTTATTTTCATTTTTGATGATCTGTCCATGGGTGAAAGTGGGGTGTTAAAGTCCCCTACTATGAATGTGTTACTGTTGATTTCCCCTTTTATGGCTGTTAGTATTTGCCTTATGTATTGAGGTGCTCCTGTGTTGGGTGCATAATTATTTACAATTGTTATATCTTCTTCTTGGATTGATCCCTTGATCATTATGTAGTCTCCTTCTTTGTCTCTTCTAATAGTCTTTAAAGTCTTATTTTGTCTGATATGAGAATTGCTACTCCAGCTTTCTTTTGGTTTCCATTTGCATGAAATATCTTTTTCCATCCCCTTACTTTCAGTCTGTAAGTGTCTCTAGGTCTGAAGTGGGTCTCTTGTAGACAGCAAATATATGGGTCTTGTTTTTGTATCCATTCAGCCAATCTGTGCCTTTTGGTGGGAGCATTTAGTCCATTTACATTTAAGGTAATTATCGATATGTATGTTCCTATTCCCATTTTCTAAATTGTTTTGGGTTCGTTATTGTAGGTCTTTTCCTTCTCTTGTGTTTCTTGCCTAGGGAAGTTCCTTTAGCAGTTGTTGTAGAGCTGGTTTGGTGGTGCTGAACTCTCTCAGCTTTTGCTTGTCTGTAAAGGTTTTAATTTCTCCATCAAATCTGAATGAGATCCTTGCTGGGTAGAGTAATCTTGGTTGCAGGTTATTCTCCTTCATCACTTTAAATATGTCCTGCCACTCCCTTCTGGCTTGCAGAGTTTCTGCTGAAAGATCAGCTGTTAAACTTACGGGGATTCCCTTGTGTGTTATTTGTTGTTTTTCCCTTGCTGCTTTTAATATTTCTTTGTATTTAATTTTTGACAGTTTGATTAATATGTGTCTTGGAGTATTTCTCTTTGGATTTATCTTGTATGGGACTCTGTGTGCTTCCTGGACTTGATTAACTATTTCCTTTCCCATATTAGGGAAGTTTTCAACTATAATCTCTTCAAATATTTTCTCAGTCCCTTTCTTTTTCTCTTCCTCTTCTGGAACCCTATAATTCGAATGTTGGTGCATTTAATGTTGTCCCAGAGGTCTCTGAGACTGTCCTCAGTTCTTTTCATTCTTTTTTCTTTATTCTGCTCTGCAGTAGTTATTCCCACTATTTTATCTTCCAGGTCACTTATCCGTTCTTCTGCCTCAGTTATTCTGCTATTGATCCCATCTAGAGTATTTTTCATTTCATTTATTTTGTTGTTCATCATTGTTTGTTTCATCTTTAGTTCTTCTAGGTCCTTGTTAAATGTTTCTTGCATTTTGTCTATTCTATTTCCAAGATTTTGGATCATCTTTACTATCATTATTCTGAATTCTTTTCAGGTAGACTGCCTGTTTCCTCTTCATTTGTTAGGTCTGGTGGGTTTTTATCTTGCTCCTTCATCTGCTGTGTGTTTTTCTGTCTTCTCATTTTGCTTATCTTACTGTGTTTGGGGTCTCCTTTTTGCAGGCTGCACGTTCGTAGTTCCCGTTGTTTTTGGTGTCTGCCCCCATTGGGTAAGGTTGGTTCAGTGGGTTGTGTAGGCTTCCTGCTGGAGGGGACTAGTGTCTGTGTTCTCGTGGATGAGGCTGGATCTTGTCTTTCTGGTGGGCAGGTCCACGTCTGGTGGTGTGTTTTGGGGTGTCTGTGGACTTATTATGATTTTAGGCAGCCTCTCTGCTAATGTGTGGGGTTGTGTTCCTGTCTTGCTAGTTGTTTGGCATAGGATGTTCAGCACTGTAGCTTGCTGGTCGTTGAATGAAGCTGGGTGATAGTGTTGAGATGGAGATCTCTGGGAGATTTTCGCTGTTTGATATTATGTGGAGCTGGGAGGTCTGTTGTGGACCAGTGTCCTGAAGTTGGCTTTCCCACCTCAGAGGCACAGCACTGACTCCTGGTTGCAGCACCAAGAGCCTTTCATCCGCACGGCTCAGAATAAAAGGGAGAAAAAGTAGAAAGAAAGAATTAGTAGAAGTAGAAAGAAAGAAAGGAGGGAGGAAGGAAGGAAGGAAGTAGGGAAGGAAGGATAAAAAGAAAGAAAGAGATAAAATAAAGATAAAATATAATAAAGTTATTAAAATAAAAAAATAATTATTAAAAAAAAAAAAAAACAGAGGGATAGAGCCCTAGGACAAATGGTAGAAGCAAAGCTATACAGACAAAATCTCACATAGAAGCATACACATACACACTCACAAAAAGAGGAAATGGGGAATAAATCTTGCTCTCAAAGTCCACCTCCTCAATTTGGGATGATTGGTTGTCTATTCAGGTATTCCACAGATGCAGGGTACATCAAGTTGATTGTGGAGCTTTAATCCGCTGCTTCTGAGGCTGCTGGGAGAGATTTCCCTTTCTCTTCTTTGTTCTCACAGCTCCCAGGGGCTCAGCTTTGCATTTGGCCCCGCCTCTGCGTGTAGGTCGCTGGAGAGCGTGTGTTCTTTGCGCAGACAGGACGAGGTTAAAGGAGCAGCTGACTCGGGGGCTCTGGCTCACTCAGGCCGGGGGGAGGGAGGGGCACGGAGTGCGGGGCGAGCCTGCGGCGGCAGAGGCGGCGTGACGTTGCAGCAGAGGCCGGCGTGACGTTGCACCAGCCTGAGGCGCGCAGTGCGCTCCCCCGGGGAAGTTGTCCCTGGATCCCGGGATCCCGGCAGTGGCTGGCTGCACAGGCTCCCCGGAAGGGGTGTGTGGATAGTGACGTGCGCTCGCACACAGGTTTCCTGGCGGCAGCAGCAGCAGCAGCCTTAGCGTCTCCTGCCCGTCTCTGGGGTCCGCGCTTTTAGCCGCGGCTCGCGCCTGTCTCTGGAGCTCCTTTAAGCAGCACTCTTAATCCCCTCTCCTCGCGCACCAGGAAACAAAGAGGGAAGAAAAAGTCTCTTGCCTCTTCGGCAGGTCCAGACTTTTCCCCGGGCTTCCTCCCGGCTAGACGTGGCGCACTAACCCCCTGCAGGCTGTGTTCACGCCGCCAACCCCAGTCCTCTCCCTGCGCTCCGACCGAAGCCGTGCCTCAGCTCCCAGGCCCGCCCGCCCTGGCGGGTGAGCAGACAAGCCTCTCAGGCTGGTGAGTGCTGGTCGGCACCGATCCTCTGTGCGGGAATCTCTCTCCTTTGTCCTCCGCACCCCTGTTGCTGTGCTCTCCTCCGCGGCTCCGAAGCTTCCCCTCCGCCACCTGCAGCCTCTGCCCGCGAAGGGGCTTCCTAGTGTGTGGAAACATTTCCTCCTTCACAGCTCCCTCCCACTGGTGCAGGTCCCGTCCCTATTCTTTTGTCTCTGTTTATTCTTTTTTCTTTTGCCCTACCCAGCTACGTGGGGGGTTTCTTGCCTTTTGGGAGGTCTGAGGTCTTCTGCCAGCGTTCAGTAGGTGTTCTGTAGGAGCTGCTCCACGTGTAGATGTATCCCTGGTGTATCTGTGGAGAGGAAGGTGATCTCTGTGTCTTACTCCTCCGCCATCTTCCCGGAAGCACTCCCTATTTTTTTTATATTCTTTACTGCTGAAATTTTTAAGTTTTGGTTAAAGAGTTGAGGAGAAAGATATGTCAATTAAACTCTAATAGAAGAAAAGTAAAGTTTATGACTTTTTGTCAACAGTTAAAATAATTTTCACTTTTGTATATATTCTAGATTCATCATTTATGATGAAAAAATACAGTACCAAAATGCAAATTTTTAGAGGCTAAAGAAAAGCAATTCCATTTCAGCAAATGACTTCTCATTTTTTTCTTTCTCAGACAATTCCAATACTTAGAATTAAGGAGGCAAATGAACATTTATTCACTTAGAGAAATTTCATTCTTTCCACTGAGGTGATTGAACATTAAGATATATGGAGGTGAAACTACTAGATGAAAGTAGGACTTACTAAGTCTGAAGTTGGCCCAGTTTTTCTGTTTGCTTGTCTATGAAAAACCATGACTATGATTTTTATTTTTTACTCCTCAGGCTTCCAGAACCTCCAGCTTCAGTGCCAAACCCTCCATCAAAGGTAAGAAGCTGTGACTAAGCTATCTTTGGAGGACTTAGAAAAATATTATACTTTTGCCACATAAATTTAGTTTAGTATATTTTAAAACATACTTCATTCAACTTATGTGGCATAAAGATTATACTGGGTGCTTCATCAGTATTTTTATTTCTGTGGCTTTTACGTGAATGATAAAGTGTTGTTAGAATCAAAGAGTTGATTTTAGCTGGATACCTATGTCAAAATATTAAAGAAGTATAATTAAAATTAAGTCTTCTTGAGTGAGCTAGATCCTGTAATTAACTTTATTAATCACCAGGAATACTCTAGAACTAAAACTCATTTTTCCAAATATAATTATCATGGGCACAAAGGCACATAGAGCATGATTTTTGCAACACAGAGAAGCTATCAGTGGAAAACCTTTCCCCTTCCAGATGTTCTCAAACTGCCACCCACAGCTCCTCTGCACTGTGGGCTATGGCCTAGGTTTGTCTCCCAGATATAGGGAGTAGAGAAGCCAGCTATAAACCACACTTGAGAGCAAAGAGTAGCATCCCGAAGTCCAGGCGTGATCGCAGACCAGTGAGCGCTGCTCGGACACGGGGAAGTAAACACATGCAACAGCTTGTCAGTGAGGTCATTCTCCTGCCAGAAGAGTAATGAGTGCTTTGCAAATAAATGTAAAGTGGGTGTTAAACAACTTTCCTTTTTTCCTGCTTTCGAGGTGACCAACATGCTCAGGATATTTTTTTTTAATCATCCCTGTTTGAGGGTGGTCATGGCTCTAAAAACGTTCATTACTTTGACTTTTAGAAAAGGACATAAAATTTAAAGTGCATCAGTGTTAGTTGTGGGCCTTTTTCAGCAAATTGCCCAAGGAGGTTCATCTTTTCTTCTCTGGAAGAATAGTACTGGAGGAAGTCAGTTGGTGTAAGATGTAAAGTTATTCTCGGTCAGACCCACATTTCTTCCAGTTCAGTAGTGAACCTCTGACAACAGCACCAGGGGACATAGATATAGTTGTCTTGCTCTAACTAAGAGGACAGGTGTATTTGTTCCTTTCTTATTTCTCTCCCTCCACAAGCTAAGCATATTTCTTTCTCCCAAATATCTGTCTTCCTTAGTAACATAGAGATCATTCATGAATGGATCAAAACCTGTACTTGAAGGTTTTAGCCTTTGATACTGTTGCTGGAGGGTAGGTTCTTGTTTTGTCGCAGAAAGAATTCAGAGCTGAGACTGAGAGGCCAAGTAAGCAAAGGATTTATTGAGTGATAGTACAATCTCAGGAGGGAGCACAGGCAGGCTCAGGTGAGCAACAGTGAGTCCTTTCGGCAAGCTGGTTTATACAGGGTGTGAAAATGAATGGGCAGAATATTCATCAAGAAGGGAGGGATTTGGGGGGTAATTTCCTGGTTTTCATCCCAGGTCCACCTTTCCGAGAGGAGGGGGAGTTTCTGTCCTTATTTGGCTTTGCTCGGATCTGTCATGGTGCCGGTGCATGATGGGTACTGCTCTGGTTGCAATGCTAATTCTACCGTAATGAGGGCATAATGAGCAAAAGGTTACATTCCGACCAGGAGGTTCCTGCCTTTCTTTGTTTGCCTCTAGGACCCTTGTCTTCACAAGATATATGGTCCCCTGTCAGCCCGGAGGGTCCCGCTTTTCTGTCTTTGCCCCTAGAACCCCTGTCATTGCAAGATGTATTATGGTCTCCTATCACATGACCTGTGCCTCCCTCCTCTGCTCATGTCTGGCTAACTGCCTGCTCTAACGTCTCCCCCCTCGAGGAGTCTGGACCCTTAAAATCTTTTAAGGGTCAAAGGGTCGATGGTCCGTCTTCCGTAGCTGCTTCAAGCTGAGCAGGGCCATTGTCCCTACCAGTGGGGTCCAGATCACCTTGCTCTGTCAGAGATAGGAGGTCTCAGGGTCATGTACAGCGGCAGAGATGGAGAGTGGGGAGTAGAAGGAGGCTGCAGCCCTGTCCAGTGGATGTTGATGGTCCCCATCTTCTTGCAGGATGGGTTGAAATCCCTGGCATACCATCACCTGTAGGTGACACTGTCGTAACCTGAAGAAACAAACTTAACAAACAGGAGACTAAAAAGACAGGGGCCCCAAATCAGCAAAGATATTATTGCAGTCAGAGGTCCAAGCAGGGGTAGGAACCAGGTCATGTTTGGTAATACCCCTCTGACTGCAGTCCATGTGGAGCTGGCACTGGGGTCACCCTTTCCACAAGTGTGGAGCCACTGGGCCTGTTCATGCATCTTTTGCATATCTTCTTCCACCTGGCCAGTGGTGTTGATGTAGGTGCAGCGCATTGTCTTGATTACTGCACGTACCCCTCCCCATTCAGCTAGCAGGTAGTCCAGGCCCGTCTGTTATCCATCACCACACTTGCTAGGAAATAAAGGGGGTTCCCCCATGGTCCTGGCCAGAGGAGGCAGAATATCTGGCACGTTACAAAGCATTGCCTCAAGGTAGGCAAAGCCGCCCATGGGGCCACCAAACAACAGCTGCTCCAGTTGCTGCCAGGATGAGGCCCATCAGCCTCTTATTTCAGGAGTGGCGGATATTATGGATGGATACACCTAGGTTCGTCTGATTACTTAGTTGGCCTAGCGTGCACTGTCCCGCAAGCAGGGCCTTATCTATCCAAGGCAAGGCCACAGCCAATCCTGGGGAGCGGAAGGAGAGCTGGGGTTATTCTGAGAAGGCAGCTGGTTTATGTTCAGGCCACAGAGGGACAGGCGTCTGGAGGAGTGCACGCCTGGCGCACTTCTGAGGAGCTGACCCATTCCTGTAAGTGGTTTGCCCAAGAGGGTGTACCCACGTGGCTTGAGGAGAGAGGCCACCGTTACAAGAGGGGTCGTGAGGTGTGGGGACTTTCCTGTAGGCCTTAGGAGGGCCATATTGTAAATGCCGGACAACTGGCGTTTTCCCTCCCTCTTCCACTGGTCACTAGGGGCAGGGGCAGCAAGACAGGCTAGACTCATTGCACTTGAGAATGAGTACTTGGTATTGGTTAGAAATATTGATGTGAGGGCTGAGATTCAAGCATGGAAGCTGCGTTAGGGACGCGATATGAACTTCAAGAGGGATAGGTTTAGCAGAACCGTTGACCAGGGTGGGAGTGAGGTTGTCATTCTTAGGCATAAAATGTAATACCTTTAATCCATATGTGTCACTCTGAGGGTGGGGATGACAGATCCAGCACCGGAATAGATTTTCTCCATGGGCTACAATTCTTGAGAGATTTACTATTGAATTAAATTCCCATTTCCTTAGTGTGGACACCCAAAAGAAGGAGAGAAAGGTTAGGGTGAATAATGACTTCATGATGACGGAGGTGAGCTAAAAGTAAACAATCCTTTTTGAACCCAGCATGGACTGAACAGAGCCCCCTCGGGTATAGGTGCTGAACCAAGGCGGCACTCACAAAGGATAATGAGAGTAAGAAGGAACGAGAGGAAGGTGATAAGCATCCATATCCACCAGAGCATATTAGTTAATTTGTGGGTGGACTGGGGTAACAGGAGGCAAAAGGAAAACAGTGACTATGGGTTCTTAGCCTTGAATTTGTGGAGTTTCTTCGTCCTTCGTAAATAACAATTTCAGGTCTTGAAGAGGTTCACTCAACCTTCGGACTCTTCTGGCCGTCCAAGATCCTCTGTATCCTCTGAAGACTCGGGGGGAGGGGGAGGTTTGATTCTAGAAAGGTGCACCCAACTAGTGTTTCCCCATACTTTCACTACAATAGGAGTGCTGAGAAGGACCTGGTAAGGCCCCTTCCACTTGGGTAGTAATTGTTCAGAAGGGGACCCTTCTCTCCATGTTTTTAGGAGGCAAAATCTCCTGGCTGAACCTGAATGGGGTCAGGTTCTTGGCTGGGGCTGGTAAAATCTGATTTCCAGATTCTGCAATTGCCCTTTGGACTTGTCCCAGATTAATCAGTTACTTAGTGAGCTCATTGGTGTCAGTGCCCACCAAAGTATCTGAAGGTAAAAAGGGCCTACCTACCGTCAGTCATTTCAAAGGGGCCTGAGCCTTAGCCCCGTTTTAGGTGCCACCCTGATTCTCAGGAGGGCTATGGGTAAAATTTTGTCCAAGGTTCCAATTTCTCTTGACAAAAGTTTAGCCAGCGTTCTTTTTAAAGTGTGATTTGCCCTTTACACCTTCCTCGATGACTGAGGGCTCCAGGCAGCATGGAGGTGGTAGCAGATGCCTAGGGCACTAGAGATTTGTTGGGTAACCCTAGCCATAAAAGAGGGACTGTTATCACTTTGTAAAAACCATGCAAGTCTGAACCAAGGAATTATTTCCTTTAATAATGCCTTTAGTACTTCCTGAGCTGTCTTGGTTCTTCCTTGTTGGAAAGGCTTCCACCCATCTAGTATAAGTGTCAATAAAGACCAGAAGGTTTTTATACCCCTGGGAGGATGGCATCTGGGTAAAGACTGCTTGCCAGTCCTACCTGGATAGATTCCTCTTCTTTGGATGGGCTGGAGAAGTAGAGGCCTTAGTTTCCCCCGGGCTTACTATGGTGTCATATATTACAGGCCCTATGACTTCTAGGATAGTCTAGAAACACCCATTCCAGGGAAGACTTTCTCTACCAGGTTCATCAAAGCATCCCTTCCCGAATGAGAAGAGTCATGGAATGATTTTTAAAATTTCCACTGTAATGCTCTGGGCAGTAGTATTGTTCTTCCTTAATCCACCGGCCATCAGGGCCTTTTTGGCGTCCACTGTATTTCCTTGATTGTGTACTGAGGTGACGAAAGCGGGTTGCGGATTGGTACCTGGGGGAGCAAGGCAGCCCGAGTAAAAGGGGTTTTACAAGAGCTACACTCTGTGCCAGGTTGTTTCCTTTTATTATGTCTGAGTTTCCTTTCTGATGTCCCTTGCAGTGGATAACTGCCACCTCCTTAGAGGTGCCTCTGGGAGTTCTGAGAGCTCCTGGCAGTGCTGGATTGGGGAATCCCATGCAGTTAGGGGTCCTCTGTGCTTCCAAG